AAAAAAAAAAGAAGGAAACTTCATGACACAAAGCCCCACCGCTCCTTTTTGATAACATGAGCACGTTAGTCTTCATGCAAAAGTCAACTCTAACTCTCCACAAAAAATTCTCTGCCAGTAAAAAAGACGGCAGTGATTTATGTACTCATAAATTACACGACACCGACTGGTAATTTCCCCATTGCTTCATAAATATTACGGATCCGACAAAAAAAAGAACAATACGACTCGAACCACCGTACACAATAAGCAGCGAAAATCCACAAATCGTTCAATGGGTGAACAAAGGCGTACAAAGGAAGATACAATTTTCCGAAACATCGACAGAAGACGAGTCATCAAGTAAAAATTGCTGCAAAAGGCATTTCGCAAAAGAAACAAATCTTTGTTTTTATTCCAGGCGACGCACAAAAATTGTACTGTATATCCAATATTTATTTTTCAATACTCCGAAAATAATGCACTGTACTTGAATGCTGTCTTCCGCTGAAACTATTGAACTTATACAGTTCATTGTACCATCAAAGTATTTTAAATTCAGAGAATGCATTCGCAATCGTTCAAAAACTAAAGGCTATTTTCGGGGAATAACCTTGATGCATCAAATCGCGAGAAAATAACATCTCGCGACCGATGTCAAGACTGAATTTTAGTAAGAGAACGTCGATCACTCACGATTTTTAAAATGGCGTACGTACGAAGAAACAACTTCCTCATTATCCACGAAAAAACATTTCTGCGCATGGGCTCGACTAAAATTACTCTCGGAATGTCACAGACGCAAGTTACAGTATTTTCAAATGGAAAAAGAAAAACTATTTCCGCTGATCCTGAAGAAATCGAACAAGTTACACACCGCTGTTCGCGAAATACGGTACAATCATCAGGTGGTACTTGCAATTTTTGGATCCTCTTCGGTCTACTTGCAACGTCACGAAAAAGATAAAAAAAAAAGAAAAACATGGGATTGTTTACTTCCACATGGACAACGGTGAAGTGGACCTCTAGGCCGGCTAGTGGTAGTAGTGATGGTGGTGGTAGTGATGGTCGGGTCACCAGGACAGTGGTTGACTATGTTGGTGATGTGCTCGGTGAGCGGGATTTTACTTGGGTCCCGGGTAGTAATACGGTGGAGGACGATCGTATTCGGGGCCCAGGCGTGGATCATTGCTCGAGTACTGAGGTGGGCCGCCGTTCGGGAAGTCCAGCCTGACACGAAAATAACTTTCCGGTCAAAAATATAAGCCAATACTTCTAGAAAATCACTTTCGTCCACAAAAAAAAAAATCACCACATAACGAAAGGAATAGCCAATATTTCTAGCAAATCACTTTTGTCCGAAAAAAAATCCCCACACAACAAAAGTAATAACCCAAAATTTCCAGGAAATTACTTTCGTCCTTAAAAAAATCCCCGCATGACAAAATTAATCCTATTCAGGGTGACATTTGTTATGCAGATGAGGAATTCCTTCAAGTTTAAATTAAAATCAAAATGAAAATTTATGGTGTAATAGACTCACAAACGCTTGAACTTTAAAAAAAGAAAGAATGCACCAATACAAAAAATGGAAATAATTCCTGCCATCATCACTATTTCCGAAAGACAAAAACTTCTTTCAGAGGTTGTCGGTACCTGGATGATGCCCGCATTCATTTCACAATGATGCTTGAAAAATGGTTCGAAAGTTTAAAATCATAACTAGCCAAAATGCATTCCTTCTTTTTTGCAAAATTCCATTACGTGAGTCACATTTCTTTTTAAATCCAAGATAAATATTCATCACGCAAAATTGTTGTCCAGGAGTCCTTCGCTATGCGTAGACCCCCTCAAATTTATTCCTCAAAAATAGGACCAAGTTTGGTATTTATTTTAAACTTCGAAAAATGGGCAGAGAAGCTCATTTCCAAGAGTGCTCTAAACAGATTATTCCTTCACGCATTGAAAAACACTGTTTAGTCGTTAATCTCTCCATCTGAACAAAAATGCATTGAATGAATTGCATGAATTGGCATCGCGCATAGCTCATCAGTCCCTTTCAACTTTTGATGTGGTTCAACATTTTCTTTTCAGGCAACTTTAAAAAACTTTATTGAATTGAATGTACCGTACAAATTTTAAGGGTTGGCTCGCTGACATTTGAAAAAGCGACCGAAATTACGTCAAGGACTAAATTTTGAAGAATAACGATAGCTACGCTTCTACCAACGAAGAAAAGAAATCCAACATTAAAATTTTTCCTAGTTCTTGAGAAGTACGCATTTCGAAAGATCATTATTACGTTAAATGCGCAAAAAATATAATTATAAATACAATTCCCGTTCATTTCGGAAATAAGTCACGCCAAAATCTACGCCAAAAATAAATCTACCCCAAAAAAGTCATCTTCTTCCCCGAGATTCCCATTAGAGAAGTAACTGTCGACTGCTTCGGAACTTGAATGTTTTTAAGCAACTTTCTTACTCTTAAATCTAAAAAAAATATCAGCCATGTTCTTTAGTTCTCTTACAACAAAGGAACTAGTCCCAGAACTAAACTTCGATCCCGAAATTAACATACACACCTGAGACCCTTTTAAAATCTTGAACTCCTAACTTACAACGCAATACGAAAATCTGATCGAACACTCGATTCATTAAATGCCTGAATTTAATGCCTGAATTTCTTACCGGTACAATTAAAACGCCTGTAAAAATTTAAAAATCCTTTTAAAAATCCATGAAGTACCTCAGTTTTTTTTCGAAGCACAGTACTACTACTGTACTGTATTACCTTATACAGAATCTTATTTTAAAATCTTATCGAATTAACAAAAGGTGCCTCAGAACTGAACTTTAATCCGAGGTACATCATTCAAACCCATTGAAATTTCGAACTCCAGACTCGTCCTTACAAAGCAATACAAAAATCCGATCAAACACACAACGATTCATTCAATACCGAAACTTCTTGCAGAAAAAATGACCCAAATAAAAAAATAAAATAAAAATCTGTGTGAAAATCCGCCCATAAAAAAAGGAAAAGAAAGAAAAACCAAGACGGGAACGAAAAGAAATACAATATATTGTGGCCGGAAATGCTGTCCACCAGCACAAACTCGATATGACCTACCATTCGTCGTTGGTGGCCGGGGGTGCGGAGGAGAGGCGCGAACCGGCAACGGCGGAATACCCGGGTCCGTTGGACGTGCTGGCCTGGTGCTGATTCGAACTACTCGCGTTCAAACGCTGGGCGTAGCTCGCCGCCGCAGCCGCCCTGCTGTCTTTCTTGTCCACGCTGTGCCGGGAAACAAAACGGTATCTAACCATGGTTGCCCAAAATTAGGGAATACGTGTTGACCGATCGAGGGACACCCAGGAGGAGAAGGAAGAAAGAAACAACGCAGGGGCTTCGCATTAGAAAGAGAGAGGAGAATAGCGTGCCTATAGGAGGGTGTTCAATTTGACAAACACACGAAATACAGTACTGTAGTACTACCGTGAAATGAATAATCGAACATACACTTTATATTCATTGAGAGCGGAATCCATACTAATGTATTCGTAATTTCTACCTGACCCGGGTTATTTTCCTCTGCTTGATTCGGCATCTGGGCTAATTCACTTCCAAGATTCTCGGAAATATCAGCAGAAATAATTGAGTCATTCCCAAAATTTTCAGACAAGTTCAACAAAATTTATTGAACGGTACAGTATTATTTCATCATGGAAAATGAGCTCGGTTATCTGCATGAAAATCTACTGAAATTCCCAAAAATTGCGTCACGACGAGTCTTAATCACAGAAGCGTCAAAATTTCGAAATTCATCACAAAATAAGCGCTGTCTTTACAGCAGTCCCTTCTCTGGATGAGCAATGACTAAATTTCGAGGGAAAACAAGTACCGAACAGTACTACATGTCACCGATTTTCGTAAGAGATAAAAATTAATAATTATCTTCAACAGATTATTTCAGCAACAAGATTTCACATGCACTCGCAAACGTACATGATGCATTCCTCATCACTTCAACGCCCAGTCTTGAAATCTTGTTTTTTTTT